ATGACATCATGTATTGACACCCTCAATGCACCTACGAACACACCGTTTAGTCGTTCATCTTCACCAGAGTGGGTCTCCATTGCGCACGGTAGCCGCTTCATTGACAGCGGCTCAATGTTCATTGTCTTTATTAGTCGTAAAACAAATCTACCTCTACACGGTCGCGCTGAGTGGAACTGAGCTCGTTCATCCACAAATCCTTTACTAGTGTATTTTTGCTACTACAAAGTGCAAACAATGCATAGTCCGTGGGCTCTAAAATCAGAAATATTTTTGCATGTGCAATGTAATCAAACAAAAATAATTAAACAATGTACGAAAGTTAATAAAATCATGGACAAAATTATTTTCAAAATAATAATTCAGCTGTCCTAAAGTATCATAGCATCAGATCGAAGATAACAGCATCCTGATCCAGTCATAATAATTTAAAAGTTCACCGACCTTTCTAGTTCAGTTGGGATTAATTGTTCTGTCCTCTTATTTACTGCTTTTTACTTTTCTTCCTTGTGCAGTTCCGATAGATCCATCACACTTAAAATAGAGATAAGCTGCGAACTGATTATAGATAAGTTGGTTAGACTTGTGGTGGAACATGTCCATCCGGGTTCTAGTTCTCGACTTGGCACGGATATTCGTATTATCTTGGATTAGGCGACGTCCCCGTCGATAGCGTAGCGCCAGTGGTGACTTCGTAAATCTCGTAATTTGCCGGCTCAGTCCTTCGGAGGTGCTTATAGAGGTAGAGTTTGCGTACATGTATTCATAGAGGTAAGTGTGCGTGCGTGTTATGAGACGTCTACGTTATACTGTGTAATTCTAAAAAAAAATAGAGATAAGCTAAAGGAAGGAGCAAATACAGAAAAAAAACTACGACCTTATACTTTTCACTCCCGTGGTGATCAATCAGTCTGTTCGGTTACATGTGGTGTGAAAACAAGACGAAAACAAGGCTTCGTTCTGCTGGCCGGAGCCGGCTGGTTCCTCCTCAAAAAAACACTGTTCATATTTTAGTTGGTACAGTATTTTCCTCTCACAACAAATTAGCCAAAAACGACTAGCCGATTTTAATCCAGCTCAGCCGAACAGAGCCCCGTCTTGTTTTCACACCACATGTTTGGTGGGTGGAGACTTGGGATGATATTGCTTTTTTTACACCGTTTAAGTTGCAGTTAAATGTGGGCCTATTTACCTTCAGTTGGCCTTACCTGTCATCCTTTGCGTTCTTTTTGACTATAACTTCTCCGCGGGAGAATTTTTTTTCTGTTTTTTTTATCTCAACCTTATCTTCTCCACGGGACTCGGGAGATCTCGTAGCCATGTAGCGCCCGCCTCCACTGTCAACCTGGAACCAATAATTTTGATTAAAGGGACCAGACAAATATGGTCGTAATTTTTAGTATGATAAAATATACATAGTTATATGTTTCAATAATTTTTTAAAATCTTTTATACTATTTATAACCAAAATCATCATATTTTAATAAAAAACAAGTGGAAATTGATATTTTTTGTGCTATAAATTGAAATATTTAGCCCCCCTTTGGCAGGGCTTTTGCCGCGGCTCCTCGAGCGGCTTCGGGCGAAGCCCTGCCAAACGGCGACAAGTAAAACGGCTTGTGGCAAGAAGCCGGCAAAAGCTCGCAAAACCTAGTGACTCAGTTCCTCCCTTCGCGAGAAGCCAAAAATACTGGCTTATTCCGGCTCGAGCTCGTCACTTTCCATCCCTGTCCCCGGCTTGCTCTCCTCCCCGACACCGCGCGCCGACGGCCGCCTCCCTACGCCGCCCCGTCGGCCTTGAGCTCCGCCCCGCCGGCTTCTCCATGCTCCACTCCATCGGCCTCGAGCTCCGCCCCACCGCCGGCTTCTCCCTGCTCCGCTCCGCCCCACCGCCGGCCTCTCCCTGCTCCACCCCGCCGGTCTCCAGCTCCGCCCCGCCGGCCTCGAGCTCCAGCTCCGCCCCACTGTCGGCCCCTCCCTGCTCCGGTGGGCCGGCCTCGAGCTTCGCCACCCTGTTCTGTCTCTGCTATCAACACCGGGGCTCACGCGGCCATCGCCGATGGTCTAGGCTCGCCGGCCTGCCCGCCACCACGTCGGAGGCAAGGGCTCGCCAGTGGGTGCAGCCCTAGTGGTCTGCTGCCGTGCCGCCCGTGGGCGATCAACGCTGCCCACTCGACTTGCCCTGCTGCGCTCTGCCGATGCCTCCGCCCGCCATGGCCGCCGTCGCCTGCTTTGCTCCGGTCGCCGAGGAGCTGCCGCGGCACAGCCTGCATGCTCCGCTCGCCATGGCCCCCTCCGCCTGCTCTGCTCACCACAGAGGACGCAACCACCCAGCAGCCCGCCTGCTCCACCCGTCGAGGACGTCCAACAACCCACGACGGAGCTCCCCAGGCCGCTCCGCGGTGGATCTCTCCTGCACAGTCAAGCCGAGCTCGACTGGCTGCTGCGGGCTTCGCTCGTGGAGGAGATCACCCGGGACGCTGTTGAAGTTGGACGGATCTCACAAACGAGGCGCTGGAAGGGGAGCTTGCGGATGAGCAGCTCTGTGCTCTTCTCTTCTGGTACTTGCAGATCCTCCGAAGCGTGACGAGGCTGGGGCGGCAGCGGTGGGGTTTCTTCGTGCTGCCGGTGGTCGGGGCTGACTTGCGCACCGCCTTGGTCGCCAGCTGCTTGCGGCTTGCGAGGCGCCTTGCCGCCCGTCGACTTGTGTGGTCCATCGAGGCTTCGCTGGTGCTGCCTCGTTTAGTTCAAAAAACCTTTCTCAAAAAATACTACAGTAGCCATTATATCGAATCTTATGATGTGTGTATGGAGCATTAAATATAGATGAAAAAAACTAATTACACAATTTGGTTGGAAATTGCGAGACGAACGTTTTGAGCATAATTAGTCTATGATTGAACACTAATTACCAAATAAAAACGAAAGTGCTACGATAGCCCAATTTCCAAAATTTAGCCAACTAAACGAGGCCTTAGAAAGATGTAAGTGTTGGATTCAGAAACTAACACGTGGTAGACACGGACTCGTTGTTCCGTTTGCTTTTATTACTTCGTGCACACTGTATATGTATTGTACGTGAGCTTTTACTTTACCGAAAGCGTGTAGGATTAGTTAGGTATAGATTAGGTTGGACCAAAATCCAAAGTGGCCAGAAATTTTGTCGATTTATTATTAGGTACAGATATAGAGCCTGGTTCGCTGGTTGGTTTCTGAGTTGATAAGTTCGACTGATGTTGGTTTGTTGTGAGAGAAAAATACTATTGGCTGGCTGAATTTAAACTGCACAGTGAGGCTTTACTGCATGTGTTCTGGAAAAAGAAAACAGTACTCGATGGATCACAGGCGGCTGCCTATTAGCCACGTCCGATGATATCTCTGAACAGAGGACACAGTTACCATCCTTCCTGGTCCCGTTGGCCCACTCGGTTCATGCCGCCGAGAACGGCCCGAGCGCAAGTCATTGGAAGGCCCAAATTCGAATCTCATCCCCTCAGTAGGCCTTGACAGTCTCCAGCGGTAGAGAGCCCATGTACATACCAGGCCACCACCAGTAGTATAGCAGATCGATCTGCGAGACTGCGACACCCTTACGGGGGCCCAGTCTCAGACAGCCCAGATCTCACTGGAGATAGTTCATCGGGCAGCAAGGGCCCAGGCCGCGCAGTTACGCGGCGACCAGGCCAGGCCCAGCGGCGGTCCCCCGGCTTTCCGACTCTTCCAGAACGAACCCGAGCGACCTCGGACTCAGGCACTCAACGGCGACGCGTGCCTGCCCGCGGTCTCTCGTCGTCTCCAGAAGATGCGCCCCGGATACTCGCCTTTCCCCCTTCTTCTACCTCCTTCCACCTCCTTCTCTCCACTCTGCAACCCCTCTGATCGCGCGCGCACTGCAACTGTTGTTCTCCTCTCCGAAGAAGCGTCACAGAGCACCGCCCGGAGATTCGCCGTCCCGTCGCCGTCGCCGTCGCCGTCGCTTGGCCAAGTAAGTAACGAGTAATCTCCTGAGTCTCCTACGCCTGTTTACTTCGAACTTGGTTTCGTTAGTTGGAGCAATGCTGTGCACCTTGCGGCCTTGCCATTCCATGTTAGTTAGTGCTGCGTTGCGTGTCCACATTCGGCGCCGCAAGTTTTCTTGCTAGGCAACCATTGTACATCTGTGTTACACTTCTATTCTACTCGGAGCACACGGCGGTATACATTGTGCGATCCTTTGGTGTGGATATTGGCTTTCTGATGTTAGCGGAGCACCTTAGTTTTGCACTGAACATGGAACGGGGGTTGGGGGAACTGAACGAGTCACACAGTTTCAGATTTATGTGTACTGCAGTGACTGTGCGAATGGTCGAGGGAATTGATCGCCTTGTGGCTTCCTAATCGTCGCTTCCCTTTTGTTGCGAATTCAGTGTATCTGTGGTTTATTCGGCACATTTACGGTTGTATAGTAATTTATTAGTCGGGGAATGGGTGCAATATGTCAGGGTTGGTCCAAGGTCACTATCTGAAATTCTGAATATATAATGCCAGACATATCACTAATTTAAATTGACTTATTATGCAAGTCGAATAACCTGACTGAGCTCGGGTGGTGTACCATGGAAGCTTTGTGCCTTGCATCAGATTGTAGCCGGGCAGTACAAAGCTAAACCTGAAGTTCGGCAGCTTTCTTCCAATTAGCCATGTCTTCAAATGTCTTCATGCTGTAGCACTCAGCTATATGCCAAGATGTTACTTATACTTTCTGTCATGCCTCATTTCTGTTAACCTCCGGATGTACCACATAGCCACATAGACATAGGGCTTCGTTCCAGGCTGTCTGTTAACCTATTCACTTCTTTGACGTTGGTTTCTGTAGATTGCTGCTGTAGCTTTTGTGGTTTGCCACTAGTTTCATATTCATAATAACTCGAGCTAGGATTTTCCAGTCTCGAGCTTCTTTGTTCCCAAAAAAAAAAGGAATTGTAGCAGCAATGTATAACTGATGCAATATTGTTTGCAGGATGGCTGAACAATTCTATACCGTGGCATCGGATAGTGAAACCACTGGGGAAGACAAATCACAGCCTTCATTCCCTGATGTTGCTATTGGCATTGACATTGGGACTTCCAAATGCAGTGTTGCTGTTTGGAATAGCCACCAAGTTGAGCTCTTAAAGAATACCCGTAATCAGAAAGGGATGAGGTCATATGTCATGTTCAAAGATGATACTCTTTCAGCAGGAGTTACTGGAGGGGCAGCCAAGGAAAATGCACATGAGGAAAGAGACATCTTATCAGGAAGTGCCATATTCAACATGAAACGCCTAATGGGAAGAATGGACACTGATGAAGTGGTTCAAGCTAGTAAGACCCTCCCATTTCTTGTGCAGACATTGGGTATCGGTGTGAGACCATTTATTGCAGCACTCGTGAACAACATGTGGCGATCTACAACTCCTGAGGAGGTCCTTGCCATCTTTCTACTTGAATTAAAGGCCTTGGTGGAGATGCATCTTAAACATCCTGTGAGGAATGCCGTGCTTACCATACCAGTTGCATTCAGTCGATTTCAACAGACCAGGATTGAGAGGGCCTGTGCAATGGCTGGGCTGCATGTGTTGAGGTTGATGCGGAACCAACTGCTGTGGCGCTTCTGTACGCTCAGCAGCAGCAGCAGCAGCTTATGCATGACAATATGGGAAGTGGCATTGAGAAAATTGCTCTGATATTTAACATGGGTGCTGGGTACTGTGATGCAGCCGTGGCTGCCACAGCTGGAGGTGTTTCTCAGATAAGAGCATTATCAGGATGCACAGCTGGTGGGGAGGATATACTTCAGAACATAATGCGCCATGTTCTTCCCAATTTTGACAGTTTATATGCTGGCCAGACAATGGACAGAATCCATTCGATGAGTTTACTGCGAATTGAAACTCAGGATGCAATTCACAAACTGGTTAACCAGGAAACTGTGGAGATCAATATAGATTTGGGGAATGGCCACAAAGTGTCCAAAGTCCTAGACCATTCAGAGTTTGAACAAGTCAACCGGGCAATTTTTGATAAGTGCGAAAAGATCATCAACCAGTGCTTGGTTGATGCGAAGTTAGTACCAGAGGACATCAATGATGTCATATTGGTTGGAGGTTGTTCGAAGATCCCCAGAATCAGAAGCCTTGTCCTGGGTTTATGCAAGAAGGAGATCTCGTACAAGAACATAGATGCTCTAGAAGCTGCTGTTTCAGGTGCTGCACTGGAAGGAGCCATCGCTTCAGGAATGAATGATCCTTCAGGGAGCTTGGACCTTCTCACGATTCAGGCAACTCCTATGAACCTGGGAATCCGTGCAGATGGTGATAGCTTCGCAGCAATCATTCCCAGGAACACGACAGTTCCAGCAAGAAGGGACATGCTGTTTACAACGACATACGACAACCAGACTGAAGCCCTAATTGCTGTGTATGAAGGTGAAGGGGAACGTGCTGAAGATAACCATCTGTTAGGATACTTTAAGATCACTGGAATCCCAGCAGCCCCTAAGGGAACAGTTGAGATCAGTGTATGCATGGACATCGATGCTGCTAATGTCCTCAGGGTGTTTGCAGGGGTCGTCAAGCCTCAAGGCCCAGCCATTCCGCCGTTCATCGAGGTGAGGATGCCAACACTGGACGATGGCCATGGCTGGTGTGGGCAAGCTCTGGCGAAGATGTATGGGAAGACTCTCGACCTTGCTGTTCTTCCAAAGAAGCTGCAGCCATGATATGTGCCTTCCGTGGCCCCGTAAGTAGCTGGTGCGTTGAGCGTATGCGGTGGCTGCTCAGTGTTCTTGTTATGGTCCCCTGTCTTTGTGTGGCCACTGTTTATATGCTGTTGGGCAGTCTACAGAACTGAACTACCAGTTTCATCCTTGTACAATAATGTGCCTCTCGTACATGTGAAATGAAATGTTGCGCATGTTTGAACTTCATAGTTTTCAGGAGTTGTTGAGTGCTGGTGTACAGAACGAAACTTTCAGTTTCATCCTTCCGCGACCATTGCTTTTCAACCGCGCCCGCCGCCGCGCCGTTGAAGCTAACAGAGGTCCGGAGTTTAGATCGCCACCCGCCCCCACAGCAATGCACGGGCCGTGCGGATGCTGCTGCTCTATGAGACCAATACCAAATCACACCAAACCATGGCCGGTGTGCAGGCACGCAGCGACGGCGTTGCTATTTGCTAGCAACAAGCACTCAAGAGACCTTTCGCCGGGAACTAAGTTTAGCCCACGGTTTCAAATATTTTGAATCCAAAATTTTGAGACCAATACCAATCACACCAAACCATCACCACTGTGCAACTAAAAACATACCGTTCTCATTCATCCAAAGACAACCAAATCGAAATCAAATCAGTACAAACCTTCGCACCCAATCATTAGCAGGGTTACGTTCAAAGTGGATTGCCGTTCAGATTGCTCTAAAACATACCTATCTCAGCGTGGACATAGTTTCTTGTGTAAGAAACTCTCCTCTTCAATTCGAATGACACATAATTATCCCGGCCCAAAATCGATAGGCAAGCACCACACCGTATCCCCGCATTCGTCCATTGATCACCCAGTGAACATTAACTTTTGTTTTCAATGCACACAGTCACGTTGAAACCATTCTGTTATCACTTCATCGTAACTATTAAAGTAATGCAAGAAATGAGCAGGTATTTTGCATATGGTATAACAACTTAAAAGCTAGTGATAACTCTGTACATCCATTATTAATCATACCCCGCCGCTCCTCTGGTTCCTCCATTGAGCTTAGCAACCAACCTGCAGAATATACATGCCAGCAATATCACTACATGTTCTAAATTGCTCCACAATTCCACATGCCAACTAATAATGTACACAATGTTTTTGCTAAAGCAAAGATCACAAAAAAAATAATCAGTGACCCTATGGATATCGCTTTAGTTAGTACTAAAAGACAACTTATATTGAATCATTCAGTGAGAAACACAGCATGCACGAGATCTCAGATCTCGTCACTTATAATCACTGGGCAGCTAATATTGTAAAACCCCAATCTCCCAATGACATGGTGAATACACCTTAACTGTGTATTAGATGATGGGTTGAAAAGCAAGAAATATGATTATAAATAATAAGTAATCAAGTATATTGATTTTTACTACAACTTAACAAAGAAAAAATGAGATGTAAAATGCCACATACATACACCTATGGATACAAGTTCTTCGAGTCACAACTTGCAATATTCAGGTTAGACAGGTCATATTTCAAGTGGATCTATGTAAGTCATAACTCATAAGCTAAAGTTGACCCACGACAAACCAAAAATATAGTTTTACACACCAAGCCAGCTATTTTTAAGCATATACGTACAAGATGATTAAAACTCTTAGCGCGATCATGATTGTCTACTAAAAATACTGAAAAATAGTATGTGCATATCCATATACTTTTTTTGAGCCAGTGGACATCTTGATGTTACAAATTACTAATACATGCAACTATTTTGATCGTTCTATACACAAAATAGAGATCCCAAACACATATGCAAGTAAAGGAACAAATTGACAACTAGCTAAAAGAACAACATTCAACCAAGCATCATTAAACAAATGTATTGAAGATATGAAATTTGGCCTTTGTTCTGTAACATCACCAAATCACATTGCAATCCACATAAAATGAAATGGTTAGCGAAATTCTCCGAGAGTCCTTGATTTGATACTAGCAAAAATCACTAAAACAATCCAACATAACATCTAACCATACACAAAAACATTAGGACAGACTAAGTTATCTATTCTTCAGTGTCGGAATAGAAAATTGACAGAATGAGGAAATATTTTCGCATTTGAAGTGTGTATCATAAAATCTAGCACACAATGCATATGGACTACTTTGGATGGCTTATGGATCACTTTTTGCCACATTGTGGGCGCCCTAAGAGAATCATTTTTTGCACATATATCAGGAAAATGTAGATAGCCCTGGTTAATCATCTTAAGAATTTTCATAGCTTTACAGGTTAAACCACATGCAGGAATTTCCTCTCTTAACATGGTTTCCATCAAGACTTTTGGCAAAAAAAACTCCATTATACACCGCATCATCATTATCAGCATCAACCGTTTCTAAATCTTTTAGAAGTCTCCCAAAACTAGTAGAAAGTTGAGAAAGGGCTTATGGGCAGACACTCCTAAACCAAACGTAAGAGAGGTGGGAGTGGAGAGAGTGAAAGAATGGCAAATGGATGAATGGCCAAGCTCCCCCTCCACCTTCACTCTTCCCCTTTTATAAGGGAGGTGGGACGGAAGGTTTTCATTATCCCCCTAATGGGGCTTGCATTTATAAAAGAGTCTCTAGGGCTACAAATGGGCCCTAAACATTATCCCAAAAGCCCCTTAGCTATGTAATTAGGCCCCAAACACACCAATTGGGGTCCTTAACATATGATACTACCCTAACAATAACCCCTCAGCTATTCGGTTTTGCTCAAAAGCATAACACCCAATAGCTGAATTCAACAAAAGTGTGGCCCAATTACAACTTAGACCCGACACGCAACTCTCGTTTATACCGAGTGGGCTGATTTTATCTTTGGCTAGTCTTCGGTGACAACCATTGCTTGAACCTCTTTGACCCTGTCTTTGGCAGCTTGCTCATTCATATGGCCTTGAGCCCCCAATAACTTCTTTTCATAATCGTGCCTTTGTTGAAGACATCGATGTAGTCGAAGTAGGCAAGGTAGTTGATGTAGACAAGATATATGAAGATGGTCACAACATGTCTTCAAGCTATCACTCATGGGCACCAGACAAGGCTTTCGTCTTTGAGCAGATTGCTTGTCCAATGCAATCTATCCGCTTTCAAAGCATGGCGGTCTCCACTCGCTCTCTGTCCCCTCCTCATCACCAAAGGATGGCGCACCCACCCATCCTCCTCCTCATGGAAGCACGGCGCCCCTAACTCCTACCCCATCTCCTCCTCCTCCTCCTTCCACGACAACAATGCCTACCAGATCCATGGTAGCAGTAGGTCCTCCTCCTCCTCTTCTCATGAGCGGACCATGTGGACCTCTGTGAGAAGGCGATGCCTACCAAATCCATGGCAGATAGGGGTTCCATCCTACCCTCTCCGGCAGGCAACAACAACCACGACTTCAAATCTTGCGCTATGCCCACTTCCTCATCCTTGTCGCCCTGGCTTTAGACCCAGTGCCATCTCGACATCGTCACCACGGGTACAGATCTAACAGCGTCTCCACATCCCGCCGGCAACCGGTGGTTGCACTAGTTTGTTGATTGATGGAAAGAAGGGGGCTAGCTGTCACCCTTCACCACCTGCTTGATGGTGTTTCCAGTTGCCACCGACAAGTAAATTTTTAATATTGCGCGTCTGGGTCGGATGGTGTGCTTAGAGGACACGAGGTTTATACTGGTTCGGGCAGAATGTCCCTACGTCCAGTTCGTTGCTGCTGCTCATGTTACTAGCACTAAAAGTTCATAGTAGGGGTTACAAATGGGCGAGAGAGGGACAGGTCCCAAGTCTCTGGTGAAAGGAGTGAACGGGTGCTGAGAGAGCTCGGTTGCTACTCGGCCGTGTGTTCGGAGTTCGATGGGTTCATGATGGTTCGATCGGATCTAGCCTGAATCGATGTGATGTGTTGCAATTCCCTTTATGGGACGTCCTGCTTTTCCTTTTATAGGCCAAGGGAAAGCATGTGTTACAACGGAGGAAAAAGAAGAACGAGAGAGAGCCAAAGGCCTTCAGGATCGGCGAGTCCTTCTTCTCCTTCATGCGGGTCTCGTCGACCCTGTAGATGTCAACAGGGATAGCTTCGCATCGCGGTCCTATTCGTCACTAGCGCCATGCGCGCCAGGGGGGTCGGTTGGAGCTGTAGTCATGCCCTTGACTGCTCAAATGAGTCAATGTTGATGGTCATTAGCTCCTCCTCTTTGGGTACCCTAGTATTGGTCCCCGACAGTAGCCCCCGAGCCTGCGGAGGAATAGAAAACTCCTTTGGAGGTTTTTCCAAGTGGGAGGACTCTGATGGCCTTGGCCTTCTTTTGTCACCTACGGCGTATCCTGCGGACGGTGATTTCCTTTCGTCAAGATCGGATCCCTCGGGGGTATAGCCATGTGGTTTGGTGGGTCGGGAAAGGTCCTTCCCTAATTTTGACCCCTTCGGGGGTGTGTTGTTCTGACGACCGCGCGTTTGGTCTTCTTGCGAGTCCAACTTTCCTCGAGCCCCCACGCGTAGCGGGGATCCGGTCGAGGGCCGACTCGTTTTTGTGATCATTGCCCTGTCCGTGGTTTTCGCAATCGGAGGGGTTAAGGTAACGTCACTTGCCTCAATGGCTCGAGTGACGCGCTCGGTGAGCCCGCTAACGGGCATGTTCGAGTGGAATCTGGGTCCGTCGTTCGTGACGGGGTCGGCATAGCCCTTATGTGGCATTCCACTACTCCTTAACCCACCTCCTGGCAGATGCCCGTGTCGCTTCGGAGAGCGACTCAGGTGGCCCGCTGGCCTCCCGTCGATGGAGATTCTGTGGGCTCGGCTCAAGGTTAGGATCGAACGAGAAGGTTGAGATGACCCTGTCCGCTTCTAAGCGGGTCAGACAAAGGCCATTGGGGCTTATCTATGTTTTCTCCCCTATCTCTGTTCGACACGAGGCGACCTTGAGCCTGTAACAGAACCGACCAATTATACGAGATTAAGTAAGGAAATCTTCCGCCGAAACAGATAATTTAGC